AAATTGGCATATTACAGTGACACAACCACATCAATGTTTATAGCAGTACAATTCACAATAGCTAAATTATGGAAGCTACCCAGATGCCTGTCAATAGATGAATGGATTAAGAAATTGTGTTATATCTATATACAATGAAGTTCTACTCAGACATTGAAAAGAATGAAATTAAGGCATTTGCTGGCAAATGGATGGAAATAGAGACTATCATGCTAAGTGAAATTAGCCAAACTCAGAAACTCAAAGGTTGAAGATTTTCCCTGATATACAGAAGCTACAGTGAAATAAGGAAAGGGGGAAGGGAGGATCAGATTACATAAAGAATCAAACAAAAACAAATTAATAGATGAGCAAAAGGAAGTCTAGAAGAGTAGAGGAAAGAGGGAAAAGGGAGGAAGGAAGGGAAATGGGAGAGAAAAGAGGTGATTTTGTACTGAAATCGATTTCTATGCATGTATGAGTTTGTTGGGATGAACCCATCTACTATGTATAACCATAAAGATCTAATAAAAAAAAATAGAATGTGAGGAGTAAACAGTATTTGAATTATGTTGTCAAAACAAGATGTAACTGTTAAAAACCGAGACATTATAAAGAACAACATAACTAACAAGCAATGAGAGGTTGGCCCTTCCATGATGCTGCTTTGCTTGGTGTAAATACAGTGGATCTCAGTCTTTGACTGGGGTGCACTAAATATGGATCATCTCAAATCCTTGAGCATGCAATCTTGTGGAGAGATGTTGTCACTATGTGCAATAGAGAAGTAGTTGAATTAACTATGTGATGGTAACTATTTTTAATAAATTTTAACATTTTTCAAAATAAAAGAAAGAAATGGGGCTGAAAGGGGAGAGAGGTGGAAGAAAGTGAAATGGTGCCTTTTTTCTCAAATATTTTGTAAACCAGCAGACATATTGTGCAAAACTGGAACATAGTAATTTTTTTTTGGTCCTGTTGGGGATCAAATCAAAGTTTTGCACATGCAGGAAACATAATTTTAAAAATAGGTTGTATGCTCTGGCAGCAAATATACTAAAAAAGTGAAAAATTTTTTAAATTGGCTACTGTATATGTATTTTTATTCTAATAAGGGTTTGATTCCAGGTTGGATTTTATTAGAAAAAAATATATCGTATCTTCCCTAATGTTTATCCCTCAGGGAGCTGTTGACACTGGCTGTAGACGTTTTTGATGTTGGATCTGTCATGTGTGTCGTAAGATGTTTGTTATCTCAGGAGACTGCTAGGCTCTTTTTACCTTGATGACCAAAAATGCCCATACATTTTGCAAGCACAGCTGACTTGGCAATTGGCTCTTCCTTGGATTGAGAACCACTGCTTTAACCTTTAAAAGTTTGTCATATCTTTTATCTTAAATTTAGAGCAATGTTAGAGAGTCAAAATCCCTTGATTTATAATCTCAAAAGGGAATAATTTACTTGAAATTTATTTGGTTTCATGTTGGCATCTTTCTCTTCTATTACATGAAAATAAATTTACTACATAAAAAATCCTTTTTACCCAATGCAACCATTTGTATTAATAACATTATTTGTTGAAATGGGAAAGCTGAAAAATAACATACTTTGTACATTTTTTATTGGGGTACATATACACAACAACATTTAGCATTTTAACAATTTTAAGCATCCAGTTCTGTGACATAAATGACACGTACACTGTTGTGCAACCATCACCACTTTCCATCTCTAGAACTTTACATCTTCTCTACTGCATATTTTAATATAATAAATAACATTCAATATATAAATATGTTAATATAATTAAATTATTTTAATTATTTTAATATGTTATATTAATATGTATATTTATATTAATAAAGTATTATATAGTATATAAAATACATATTTTATATAACATATTGGATTTGATATAATATAAACATTTAAATGAAATATTTTATTTTAATATATCATTATATAATATTTATATTATATATATATATATATATATATATATATATATTCATCTGCCATTTTTGCCATTTTCCAGTCTTTTATTTTGAGGTCAGTATCCTTTCTTTGAGAGAGGTCACCTGATTGGAATTCCCCCTGGTTAACCCATAACCAAATTTTTTGCATGAACTACAACAATAACACTCTCTCTAGGATTTCAAGTTTCAGTTTTTTAAAAAATGAAACAAGAACTGAAAGACACTTGGGAAAAAATTTGAGTTCAGAATCCTAGTCCCCTCCCCTCCCAATATTTTATCATTGTCATATTTACACCTATTTGAAAAATATTGAACTACTCTACGTTTATCCTGTCTAAAACATCCAATGTAGTTTTTATGGACACAAAACTTGCTTCTTTTTGCATTTGCATTTGATCAGTTTTCATAACATGTATTAAGTTACACAATTGGAAAACTAAGTTATATAATTGAAAAAAGTTGAGGTTCAAGTACAGCTGACTTGTGAAAAGAATCTAGCTGAACTGATAGGGATAGAAGTGTGGGAACATCCACAGAGCTGTCTGCTTGCTCTGAGCATTTGAAATGAAGGGTGTCGCTTACAAAATGATCTGGCAGGTTGGATATTATATTAAACTAATGAACTAAAAATATCACGTATATCTGTGAAGATTCATTTTATGTGACAACTTGACTAGGTCACAGGGTGACATTTGATCAAACATTATCCTGGGTGTGTCAGTGAAGGGCACTTCTTTTTTTAATATATGTCTAGTTGTTGATGGGCATTTTATTTTACTCATTTTTTTATATGCAGTGCTGAGAAATAAACCCAGTGCGCCTCACACATGCTAGGCAAACGCTGTACCACTGAGCCATAACCCCAGCCCAGCGAGGGCATTCCTTGATGAAGTTTCTATTTTAATGGAGAGACTTAAGTACAGCAAATTGCCTTTCCTAATACGGATGGCTCACCCAGTCAATGAAGATATAAGTAGTGGGGGAAAAAACTGAGTAAGGGGGAATTCCTCCTGCCTGAATCTGAACTGGAACTTACTTTTTTTTTTTTTTTTTTTTTTTGGCCTTCATCAGCTGTCAAACTGAAAATGTAGTTCAGCTTCCCTGGGTCTCCAGCTAGCCCCCTACAGGTCTTGCGGTTTCTTAGCCTTTTTAACCCTGTGAGCCAGTTCCTTATAATAAATTTCTCTCTCCTCCCCATATGTCTCTCTCTCTCTAATTATAAATATTCTTGATATCATACGTAATAATACAAAATAATATTACATATGTAATATAAGATGTTAACAATAGAGGGAGCCAAGCGAGGGACATACCAAAAACACATTATATTATCTTTGCAACATTTCTGTGAACCTAAAATTATTTCCAAAATAAAACTATGTTTTAAAAAATAGCACATACTATACAATCCCTCCTTCTAGAACCATTTATAATTATCATTTGTTTGTATTTATACATTCTGTTCACCACATGTTTGTGATCTTTCCTTTAGGAATTATTTACTTCTTTCTTTGTATTGTTCTGTGTTGAGAGCCACAGCTGAGTTGGGATGGCGCCTAGCATTTTGCCAGAGGAGTGGTTGAGAGGTGAGAAGCGAGCCATTAAGATGATGATAATTAAGTTGAGCAGTGTATAATGCTGTGACTGGATGATGCTGGATTGAAACAGCCTGTGTATTCAGTTGTATATAGACCCCTGCTGTCCGGCAATAGGGCGGCTCCTGCTGCCTGGGGCACCCGCTACTTTTGAGTTCTCCCGGAGTTCCTGTTGAGTTGTTGAGTTCTCGCGGAGCCAGTGGAGGGTGGAGAGAGTTCCCGGAGAGTGCGCATGGAGTGCCAGTGGAGTTCGGGCAATAAAGGAGTTCCTGTTTGAACCTACAAGTGCCTTGTGGCAGCTCGGTTATTTTGTGCCCAGCCAGCCTGCGGCAGTTCTGTATTGCCTGAGTTTCATTTTTTGTTTGTTTGTTTTTAAGAATGGAAATTTTTAAAAATGAACCAGTGAAGTCATTTTTTAAAAACTACTGTGGCACTTTGACAAGGTGACTTTTTAAAATCATCCAAATTCCAATATCACTCTGGTGTTTGATTTGATATTAGTTTTTAGTAGCATGGTCTCACTTGTGATTCTCCTTATAGACCCAAAGATGATTTTATGATGAAGCTCCAAGGATAACACTATGCCATTGGACTAGAAAAATGACCATCTAGTATTTGTGTAAGAATAAGGTGTTTCTGACTGTCCTGGTTCATTCAGGCTGCTATAATTGAATGTCAAAAGTAGGTGGTTTATAAACATTAGAAATTTATTTATCCTAGTTCTGATTGCTGGTCCATGACCAGCAGATTCTCACCAGATTCAAGGTCTCTGGTGAGAACCCCTTCCTGATCCATAGATAACCATCTTCTCTGTGTCCTCAAATGGTAGGAAGGCCAGGGAGCTTACTGGGCTCTCTTTAGAAAGAAGACTGATCCCACTCACAAAGGCCCTACCATCATGACCTAATTATGTCCCAAAGGTCCCTTCTCTGAATCCCATCACATTGGGGGTTAGGATTTCAATATATGAAAGGAGGAAGGGTCACAAACCTTCGTCTATCACACTGACCCATACATAGCTGAATGATTTATGTCTCTGTGTTGTTTTTGCTCTTTTACACCTGTAAGTGTCATAAGGGATGAAAAAGCTTTTGGTTGTAGTTCTCCAGGAGTTCTGTCCAGTGTAGCAAAGGGAACTAAAGAACTGTCAGATTTTATATCTCCAAATCAAAGCAGAGCTTGCCATTGAGTAATTACAGGGATTAAAAGAACAGATTCCTAAACATTATAGTATATTTTTTAAAATTTAATACTTACTCTCTTTATCCTCTTATTTTCTTCTCCTTTTTCTTTGTTCTTTCTCCTGACATCCAACTTCTCCTCTTTTGATTTTGTTTTAAATTCTCAAGGTACCATATCTTGTCTTTTTTCATTCCAAGACTGTGAACTCTTTGCAGTTGTGGAGAGGATCATTATAATGTCAAGCACCAGGGACCAAAAGGAGGCAGATAAGCTGCTGAACAAGGCTTTATTGAGATTCACTCCTGGGTGAGACCCATTCTAACAGAGCAGGTGGAGGGAATCGAGCCCAGACTCAGCTGGATTTGGAATTTTATTGGGTTTAGGGCTGGAAGGGAGGGCTTGGGACAGGAAAGGGAGGTTTTTAGAGTCCCCTGTCCTCCTAGGGCTGGTCTGGGGATCTTGCTGAGAACTGTGCCCTTCCAGGATTGGTCAGGAGACCCCTGCTGATTGATAGGTGGTTATCACTACTTGTCTGTCTGACCTAACAATCATCTTCATTTCTGTGTCCATGTCACCTGGAAGAGTTATCTCCCTCACTTATCAGTCAGGGAGAGTTGTCATAGGCATGTCTTGACTGGAGGTCAAGCTATAGCTGAGCTGTAGCTTGAAATGGAACTTCTGGGGTTTTCCAGTTTCTCCTTCTCCACATGGTTCTTTCCTTTGTCCTCCCTATTGCTTTTCTTGCTTAGCCCTTTTTCTTCTTGTAATGTAGCTGAGGAATGTGCATATTCTAGGATTACTCTGTTCTTTGCATAAGGTCAGTTCTTCTCTTTTTGTTTCTAGAAAAGAATAATCCAAACAAGTGGTTCTCCAATTTGATTAGGCATCACAGTCACCTGGATGGCTTTTTAAAACAGACTGCTGGGCCCAACCCTTTCCCCCTGCATTTCTCCTTCAGTGGGTCCTGTTTTGGGGCTGGAGGATATGAATTTCTAGCAAGTTCCCAGATGCTGCTGCTGTTGATTCCAATGCTGCTGGTTCAGGCTTCACGAATCACTGACCCATATACTACAGAAGCACTAGCTGGCTGACTAATCTCCTGTATGAGGGAGAATAAAAGGCATACTGATATTTAATGTCTAGAACTTAACCATACAATAAAAATAACAGAATGAATATGCATATTTGTTTTAAACCCAAAGTATAAAGACACCTTTTCTTATATTCAGATTATTTTCATAGACCATAAGTTAAAACTGCTAAAGAAGAGAAAGCTATTGATATTCTATCAGAGTATATAAAAAGGTTAATTATGGCATGCACATCTTAAAGATCCCTTTGCTATGTGAGCCTTCTCCAGAAATACTTGCCATACGACTGAAATAGAAATGATTATATGAGTAAATTATCACCCACACTCCTTGCCTGCATTATTTCATACCACAAGCCTTTTCTCTTTTCAAGGAATAATGGTTTTACATTTTACTTTGTGATGGCACTCTAATTGCTAAATATAATAGGAGCATTATGCTACAAAGTTAAAAGATTCCAAGTGAAAAGATAAGTCAAATATAGTAATCTCATCCAGCCAATAATTCTTTAAAGTGTGTTCCTCTTTTCTTTTCCAGCTGTCCCCCAATTGTGAGCTCTCACACAATCAAATGAAACTGACTACCTCAGTGGAGAAAAGCTAAGAGGGACCTTGGAATTTTTCTAGTCCAAGAGTCTGTATGTAGGAAACACTGGCCAAATCTGGTCCATTCCTTGTTTTTATAGATACAATTTTATTGGAAAATAGGCATGCCCATGTTAATTGGGAAATAGCCATGCCCATCTGTTTGCCTATTGTGTGGCTACTTTTACACTATATGATAGTGAAATGGTTGCAACACAGACCATGTGGTCCAAAGCTAAAAACATTTACTATCTTGCCCTTTATCAGAAAATTCTACTGACCCCTCCTCTAGTCCAACCTACTCACTTTTCAGGTGAGAAACGTATCCTGAGAAAGAAAGCTGTAGCTCTGGTTCAAGCATTCAAACAGAAACAGGAGGCAGAAGGCCAGGCATCATCCTCACCAATGCCTGTATGAGCTTTATTCCGCCAAGACAGTCAGAGCTGCCCTTCCTGTATTATTTGAGAAGGGAGCGTTGGTGTAAGCTTGCATCTCATTGCAATTTTCAAGGAGCCCCTCTAAATGACAACCCTCTCCCCAAAAGCAGTGAGACAGAAGTGTGTTTTAATGTTACTCCGAAATGTACAAAGCACATTATTAGTAGCTGAATATTTGAGGCTTGTATCTAATAATGAAAAAATTCATTTTTCAATGATGAGAAAATCATTAGGATGATTTTGTCTTTCAGAAGATACCTACATTGTGTCATGTAGCTTTCTCAAAAGTATCCAAAGCCTGCAAGAGAATGTGTCTGGTGATGGGAATTCTTATTTTCTCAAGTTGTATTCACCAAACTGGCAAAAGTATAAGAGCATATGTGTACATGTATAAGTTAACATAAGTATTTTTACATAATTCATGTATCCATGTCTAAAATAAAATGATACAATAATGCTAGATGTCCCCTAATCTCTTATTTGCATGTTAAGGAAAGTATATCTGTTCTGCAAACAGGAACCCAAATTCTGTGGTTTCAGGTGAGTGTACAGAATTATATAATGAATTGAAAAGGAGTATTTTCGTGAAAGGACCATTATTTTATGTGTTTATTCATTGGCTTTTTAATGGGTACCTCCTGTGTGCCAGGAACCCCCTGTGCTGAAACAGATACACACAAAGAGGCCAGAGGATCTCACAGTGTTATGCAGGAGGTCCTCATGTAAAGATACCCGTAGTCTTATTAAGCTGTTTCTCTGCTATCTTGAATTGGCATACATCTAATAAGAACTTTTCTCTCTGCCTGGAATTTAGTAAGTATCCAGTAAATCTATGAATAAGTGGGTGAATGAATGGATGAGCAAGTGAGTGAGTGAATGCACAAAAGGCAGAGGTATGAACCACTTTGAGCTGTTTAGAGAACACTTTATATGTCTGGAAGATAGGATTTGGGAAAGAAGGGTTGGACATACTGGGAGAAGAGACTAGGGAGGTGGGTCAAGTTAAGATTATGGAGTACCTGCCGGGTGTGGTGGCACATACCTATAATCCCAGCAAATCAGGAAGCTGAGGCAGGAGGATTGCAAGTTCAAAGCCAGCCTCAGCAACTTAGGGAGGCCCTATCTCAAAAAATAAAAAGGGATGGGGCTGTGGCCCAGTAGTTAAGTGCCTCTGGGTTCAATCCCTGGTACCCCACCACCACCACAAAAAAAAAAGAAAGAAAGATTATAGAGTACCATGTATACTAACCTAGGTATTTTTAATAATTATTTCAGCAATTCCATGTGTCAGTCCTGTGATAGGCTCTGAGGATATATGATTTGGCTCCTGCCCATCTGAACTCTATAGTTCTCACTGAAGCAATACATAAGAAATATTCAAAAAGTGTTAGGCATTATTATTATTGGAGAAAAGTAATTGAAAGTGTCATGAAGAAATACAGAAGATGAGGAGGACCAGAGTGAAATGGTAGGCAACCAATAAGACTTGCAGATTCCAGGAAGGTCCATCTAGTAGAAGAGTGGGTGAAATTGAGGTTGGAGAGGAGGCAGAGGTCAGGTCATGGAGAGTCTTTTGCATCATTGTAAAATTTGGGGCTGTGGCCTAAAGTCAGTAGGAACCAACTAAGGTATTAAGTTTGGGAATGATAAAATCAGAGTCTTGTTTTTATAAGATGAAGAGACATGGATGAATTCAAGAGACTATAGAAATTGAATAACAAGAAATTGATTGATTGACTGTAAAATGGAAAGAAAGTTAGAAGATGTCTCCCAGATTTCTGGATTGAGCCACTGAATGAAGAACGTATCATTTACTCGTATAAGAACATGAGTTGAACAGCAGTGTTTCAGGAGAAAAAATGAGAACAGTTGAAGTTGAGGATCAGAAAAGATGGCTACGGAGCTCATAATATGAATGAACATGGAACCTGGGAATGGATGAGATCTCAAAAGAAATGTATAATGTGAGAAAACAACCAGGATGGAACTCGGGGGGGGGGGGTAGAAGAGGAACCCAGAGAATACTGAGTAAGCAAGAGAGGTCAAAGCAACTTGTTAAAAATAGGAGACGGTGATGTCATAGGAACAAGAGAGGATAGGGAGGAGAAAGGAAGAAGAAGGAGGACATGGTCAGTATTGTCAAATGTGTCTTTGTTTTTTAATAAGGACTGGAAATGATCCACTGGATATAGCAATTAGTAGAGCTCTGATCAGGGCCATCTAAAACTCTCCTAGATCTTGAAATTGCTTGTTTCTGGAGATCCTACCCCATATTATAGCAAACATTGAAATGCAACAAATTCCACATTAAATTGTTTCATAAAAGATTTACGGTATTAAATATTTCCCTTTGAAACTATTACTAATTTTTTCTAGGGTGTGTGTGTGTGTGTGTATGTGTGTGTGTGTAATTAAGCCCATTCATTTTTCTTTAGATCTCAACCGTTTTGTAGTTTTCTTAAAAACCCTGAGGACCTTCCCTCTTATTAATAGTAACCACATTCAAAGAAAGCTACAGTGAGTTATGGAGTGAATGAGTGATGAAGCAGACAGTAAGCATGGACTTCTCTTTCATAGATACAACTAGGAAAGAACAAAAAGGGAGAGAGACCAAGAGTGCTGCAAAGTCAAGGGAAGGTCTGATTTATTTAAAATTAGAGCTCTTCACATGGATTGGAAGAAAATAGCAAGACGCAAACACCAAAAACAGGTTGATAATTGAGGAGAGAGAAAGAATATTTGCTCAAAATGCTGTTTGAGGAGATAAGCAAATAAGAAGAGATCCAGAGCTAGGAGTATAGATCAGTGGTAGAGTGCTTGCCTAGCATGTAAAAGATCCTGGGGTTAATTTCAACAACCCCCCCCCAAAAAAAAAAAGAGAAAAGGGATTTAGATTAGTTGATTTCACCTTTTCTAAAGTCCTTCTCTGTGTCTAGATGAAAGAAGGACAGGAAATAGATTGATGTGCACCTGATATCTATTGTTAATGATGAAATGTTAAAATCAAGTCTTCTTCAAGTAACTCCAGCACCACCATTCAGCACTGTTCTTCTAAAGATCTGGGACTACAGTGAGAACACTCTTACAGCAGTTAACAGCTCCATAGTTCATAAATAACCCCAAACTACCCTGTTATGAAGAGTGCTATAGAGATGCCTATTGGGGTTTGACCCCTGTTTTTTTTTTTATGAGCAAAGAAAAGGCAAGTATTCTCTGGGAGTAAAATGCCCACCTATGTCAAGTGAATTGATTTGTCAAAAGCACCATCTGGTAGATGAGTTGATTTACACTGACGAGACAGGAGGTATATGGAAAGTGCATTAACTCTTTGGGGCCACTGGGGCAGCATTAGTAAATCATTGCTACAGTACTAAATGGTTCTCCTAATGGCCCCAAAGAGTAAATGCATCCCCCAAAGAGTCTCAGATGGCCCCAGGTGGTCGTTTGCCCTCTGAGAGTCAGGATGATTACAAGTGCTTTTCAAGAGCTAAGTCAGTGGCCCAATTTCTACTTTACAGATAAGGAAACTGAAGGGTATTCTAGGCCACTTGGTGCCAGTTAATAACAGAGCTTAGATTAGATATTAGCCAGCTAAGGTGGCTAGCTAATAATTAGCGTTGTTGCTGTGATACCAATAAGAATTCTAGTGATCATGTCAGTAAATGTATGTCATTCAAAATGTGATCATTCACAGTAAAATAACCCACATTTATTCCCATGAAATGGGAATTATTCCTATTTGGTTGCAAAACGATTGACTAGAATGTTCTTTTACAAAAACATGATTTTAGTTGTGCTTTTTGATGTTGTTAGGTTGTTGTTGTAGAAATAGAAATGAAAACTCAAGTTGATAAAGAAGATAGAAAGCCTTTCCCTAACAGCTGTCAGGAGTGTGTCTCAAGTTTGTGTGTTTATCAGACTTATACATTAAACAAATTGGATCAGCTTCGGAGGTGTTGTTCAATAGGCCATGAATGTTTCTGAGCT